ATCTTCCTGGATGGTCTTCCCCTTGACGCTCTCGGGAAGGAGGGAGCGATCTCCCCGTTTAGACCCAGTTTTGGAGGCCTTTCAAATTCTGCAGGTTTCAGTGTGGAGCTAAGTTCAGTTGGACATGAGCTTCTGTAGTGTTAGGCTGCCCAGGCCTTCCTGTGTTTGTTTCTCATTGCGGGGACAGGCCTTGTTTCCCCCCCCCCCCACCATTGTCATCCCCAGGGGAAAACAGCGGAGCCGGGAGTTGAAGAGGGACTTGTCCGAGGTCACACAGCTGCGGAGTGGCTCAGCAGGGTGGAAGCTGGGCTTCTTGGCTTCACCCCTGTACCGTCTGCATCACCAAGCTGAGGGTCTGTATTTAGGTTGACGGAGTGGCAGGATATTCTAAAACGGCTGACAGCACAGAGGCCGACGTGGGGCTCGAGCTCACGAATTGTGAGGTCGTGACCCGAGCTGAAGTCGGACGCTTAACCGACTGAGCCACCCAGGCGCCCCTGAAACGTACCGTTCCAGTAGAAAACTGATATTTATTATTTACAATTTCCAGGACTAGCGGGCATGACAAACCACATGGGGCCACATGAGGAAGCACCAGGGTTTTCCAGGGGTGGGTGGGGATGGAACGAGACACTTTGTTGTGGCTTTTGCTGGAAGGAACAGGTGGGGGAAGGTTGGCAGGCTTAGGCTGGCTAGTTTGGACAGTTGCAGGGGCTGTCCCTGGTGGTGTGGTGCCTGGCCCTGGGATGAATAGGGCTGGTGGATCGTGGCCCTGAGTGTGAGTCCCTAAAAGGTCGGGTGTAGCCTCTGGATGGGTTGGTTTGTATTGGAGAGCCATGCCCCGGGGGTGGGACTTTTGGGGGGTGGCTGTGAGGGAGCGGGAGGCAAAGGCAGGGGGACTCAGGCATACCCTTGGGTTATCCAGAACAAGGTATGTGTGGCATGTGCCTGTAGGGCAGATGTTAAAGCATCAAGTTAAGGGGCGCCCGGGTGGCTCAGTCGGTTAAGCATCCGACTTCGGCTCGGGTCATGATCTCTCGGTTCGTGAGTTTGAGCCCCGTGTCGGGCTCCGTGCTGACAGCTTGGAGCCTAGAGCCTGCTTCGGATTCTGTGTCTCCCTCTCTCTCTAACCTTCCCCTGCTTGCGCTCACTCTCTCAATAATAAATAATAAACATTAAAGAAAAAAGCATCAAGTCGATAGCAGCTAGAAACACGACTGATACACAGGGTCCTGTGTGAGCCCATATTTGAGTGTTGCTAACTCAGAAACAGGTGATGACATGGCATTCGGGCTCTGCAGCAGCCAGTGTGCTCCTTTCCAGCCGATGTGGACCCAGACAGGCAGGGACACGTGTTACCCCTTACATCATTTAACTCCGTAATTAGTTTGTTATCTGTTTAATATCTGTGTTCTCAGACTATAAGCCTCCTGAGCCCAGAGACCAGGTCTGTCCCGGGCACTGCAGTGCCTAGGACATCCTAGATGCCTCATTACATTGGCAAACACTAAATTAGAGCGTATTACGTGTCGGGTGGTATTCTAAGCGTGTTGGGTACATTCATTCTTGGTAAGGGCAGAGCCAGGACTTGAACCCTGGCTGTCCTAGTTCGTGCCCGTCACCACGGAGCTGCCTGACCGTTTGGGGTTTGAGTGTGTGGAGGATGAGCGACGAAGGAAGCACAGGTGGGTGGCGTGAGTGGCCTGGTGCAGGAAGGGCCGCGTTTGCGTGTGTCTGTCTGCACTGTGGTGGGTGCATTCGAGGAGCACAGCAGAGTGGTGAGGGAGCACGGAGGCGGGGGCGGGGGAGCCTGAGAGCAGGGGGGTGTAAGTGACTAGGAAGGGGGTCTTTCTGGGCAGAAGAGGGAGAGGTTGCTGTGAGTTTCCCTGCAGAACTGGACTCCGGAGGCGGGAGGGGCTCCCCAGGTCTGGAACCGGTGGGGCAGAGGTGCCCCGAGGGCGGTGGGTCTGGCATTCTTGAGCCACGTGCACCCACCTCCGGCGTCCCGTCTGTAGGGCTTCCGCACTATTCCTTTGACCCACGCACCCTCTGTATTAACAAAGAACCAAGTGTCCGAAAGCCAGATGTCTGCTGACGTCTGGGGACCCCGAAAGCGTGCTGAAGGTTTGTGACCCTGTCCCCACTTGTCTGAACACACCTCCCTCCAGAGGCCCAGCTTGGCCACCTCCTGGCTGTGTGGCCTGGGGCCAGCCGTGGGGAGACAGAATAACGGCCACCGAAGATGTCCACGTCCTAATCCCCAGAGCCTGTGAATAAGTGACCTTACATGATAAAAGGGACTTCGCAGATGTGATTAAGTACAGCTGTTGGGATGGGAGAGGGTCGCGGGTTATCCTGGTGCGCACGACCCAATCCCAAGGATCCCATTAAGAGGGAGGCAGAAGGGACCGAGGAACGCAGAGCCTCCAGAGGGAACCAGCCCAACGTCACCTTGACTCTAGCCCAGTGAAACTGATTTCAGACTTGCAACCTCCAGAAGTGTAAGATGGTAAATATGTGCTGTTTTATGCCAGCGAGTTGGAGGTAATTTGTTGCAATGGCGACAGCAAGGTGATACACCAGGTCCCTGCTCTGAACCTCAGTCTTACCATCTGTAGAATGGTCGCGACCCCCATGTCCTGACGCTTCAGTTTCGGAGGGTCAGAAAGCAGGAGACCTTCTGGGCTGTGGCTGGAACTTTCTGTCACCATAAAGTAGGTTCCCGTGCATTGATGGGTGAATGGATGAAGAAAATGTGGTATTTACTTACAGTGGAATATTATTCAGCCTTAACAAAAAAGGAAATCCCACCCTTTGCGACAACACGGATGAACCCGGAGGACAGAGTGCTAAGTGAGAGAAACTAGACACAGAAGGACAGATCGTATACGATTCTGTTTATACGAGTGACTTACAATAGTCAAACTTAAGAAAATAATATACAATGGTCACATTTGTAGAAGCAGGGAGTGAAAAGGTGCTTGCCAGGGGCTGGGGGTGGCAGGAAATCGGGGAGGCAAGAGGAGTGTCTGAGAGATCCGGACGGCACGGTGCCTGTGGTTAACAGTGTATGGTACACTTAAACATTCGCCAAGAGGGTAGATCTGACGTTGAGGGTTCTTTTGTTTTTTTAATTTTTTTTTTAACATTTATTTATTGTTGAGAGACAGAGAGCAAGCACAGGGGAGGGTCAGAGAGAGGGAAACACAGAATTCGAAGCAGGCTCCAGGCTCCGAGCTGTCAGCACAGAGCCTGACGCGGGGCTCGAACCCACAAACCAAGAGATCATGACTCGAGCCGAAGTCAGATGCTTAACCGACTGAGCCACCCAGGCGCCCCTGCA